TTGAAATTCAGAGGTAAATGGATAGAACTGAAAGTCATCCTGAGTGAGGCAACCCACATCCAGATAGAAAAATATCACATGTTCTCTCTCATAACTGGATGCTAGCTTTTTAGTTTTTAGATGTGTGTGTTTCAATTGAAAATTCCATACAGGTAGAAAATTAGTAAAGGGCCATAGTATGTAGCGGGGGAGGCTTATCGGAGAGGAGATAGAATGCAATGATATAAAGGAGGGGGAACAGGAATAGGAAGGGTTAACTGGGGTGGGGAATGGGAGGATAGAAGGAATATGGGGAGGGATAACTAACACTAAAGGCTTTTTGAGAGTCAAATAGAAACCTACTACTATAGAAGCTTAAAATATATACATATACAATCTAAAAGAATTTAAGTGGAGTTACCCTACCACATGGGAATCACCAGACCCCACACACCAACAAATATGAACCACAATGTCAGGAACTGAAGTTGTCGACCAAGGGGATCCCAAAGACACTCTAACAATACTAACTAGCTATTCCCATTGAACCAACATATATCTTGGTTAGCACCCCCCCTCAACCTGAGGGTAAGACTCTACTCCTGAAGACTACATAGTTGTCATAGAGCAAACAAGGAAAAATCAAGCTGGTACTAATCTCAAAGCTCCGGATCATCTCTGGTGAGCTTTCATAGTGCAGGAAGGTGCCATGCTTGCTACCAGAAGAGAAAAGTAATTGTCACCCATATCTAGTTGTGAACCCCACAAACTACAATACAAACTAGCCTGGCAAGACAAGCCCACCAGTACAATAGTGGCGTAAATGTTAAAGAGTAATCAACTACTTTTTGATTGGATTTAGAGCCCACTTCACAAGATGGAGTCCATACCTGGTACTATGATCATGGCCAAGAACCTGTGGCTAGATGGGTCATAAGCAGTAGGGTACAACCTACTATTCTTATTCTGCTAAATGGACATAGTGTTAAACTGACTCCTACTGACTTATTGTTAGATTATCCGGTCTCTTAACTCTTACCAGAGAAGCTTCCTTATGCAGCAGACGGTGATTAAAAACGAGACTCACAACTGGTCAACATGCAGATAAGAGATTGCAAGAGTCCTAAATAGGGCATCGATATCACATGTTCTCCTCCTAAGGCTCAGGAATAACTGAGGAAGAGGAGGCAGAAAGATTTTAAGAGCCAGAGGTAGTGGATAACTATAAGGAAACAGACTATAAGGAAATCAGTGTTTCTCCAGACAGCAAGGCAGTTCCACATATGTAGTCACAGCAATTGTGTCAGCATGTACAAGACCTATGCAAGCTCATGTTAGACAGAATCCCAACATAAAGGGGGTGAGGGAGGTAAGAAGCCCCCAACTCTAGCTGAGGTACTACTGGCAACTGATAGATGCCAGAGCCAGTTTTCTTTAAGAATGTGATGCTGGGCACATGGACTAGGCTACATGAAGATCAGGGGGAGGGCAGGGCAATGGTTGAATATGGTCAAAATACATAGTATGAAATTCTCAATTTTAAAAGATGAAAAAAATACAAATAACATTTAATTATATTTAATCTAAGTATACCAATAATTGCATTAAATGACTGATCATGACAAATTAACAAAATTATTGAAAATTCAAATAAAAAAACCTAGAATTCTTGCTATTTACAAGTCAGACAAAATCAATACTAGGGTACAGAAAGGATAAAAGAGTAAAATTAATATAAACAATACCAAGGGAATGTTAAATGAAAACAAAGCTGGTACAGCTATGATATCAAAGGCAGCTACAGGGAAGAAGCATTTGCTCAGCATAATCAAAAGAAGATACAAGACAGAATAGTTCTAAATTTGTATGTATAACCTTGGAATGAGAAACAAAAATTCTCAAAACTATCTTTTCAATCCATAATCTCAGTGGGATATTTGGGTACCATTCTAAGTAGCTGACTGAGCAATCAGACTGAAAAAAAAAAATCTTTGAGGAATATAGAAAAGACTTCACACTATTAACAAAATTTGCCTGACTTACATTTAATACTTGTACTAAAAAAAAAAAAAAAAAAACCCAACAGAAAATACATAAAATATACACACGGCACTTAACAAAATTTAATCATTATGTATCCCAATAAGGCAGTTCCAGATACATTAAGGATTAAAAAAAAAAAATCAATATATTTGCTGACAAAGTGGCATTAAGAGCTAGTGGCTATTAACAAAAGTTCATTGTGTATATTATAAGCCTCAAATTCAAAAATCAAAGAAGAAAAAAACACATAAAAGTACATCAAATACTTTTACCTGAATGACAAAACACGCTTATGTAACATCGCTAACATGATACTTAAAGGGATATTTGTAGCTCCAAATGTAAATATTAGAAAAGTTAGATACAGATCAACAAAGCACACCTGAAGAAAAAAGACATAGGAACCTGAAGGGACAGGAGTGATGAGACCAAGACAAATGTAGGACAGATCAGCCCAAAAGAGATCAGAAGCCCTTTCCACAGCTTGTTAAATGAGCAAACCTGTATTAGAAATGTTACAATCAAGAAATAAAAGACACCATTGCAGGCCTTACAGAAAATAAAAATATAACAATATTTTGGACACCTATATACCCTCAATTTGAAAATTTACATAAAAATCCAAATTTACTAGCAAAGGAGATATAAAAAGCCATGTAAAATCTAAATAGTACATTAATGAAAGAAATTGATTACATAATTAAAAATATTCCCAAATAATTTAAAATATTATACATGCAGTTAGTTTTCAAACAACAAATTTTAATTTAAAAATGTCAGGAAAAAACAACACTAACTTTCCAAAACACCTTCCAGAAAGCACTTAGCCATAAGTACTGCACAGATGAGAATGAAAGTAACATGTCACATGCCAAACAAAGTGTTTAACATGAAGTGTCCTCAAGTAAAATAACAGAAAACAAAATTACTTATTGACTCAAAACTTGCCTTAAAATTCAAGCAACCTAAGATAAAATTCTTAAATATTCTAAGAAACATGAAAATATTGTTTTCTCAATTTCTATTTTAAAAAATTGAAGGCATTTTTCCTCTTAGTTGAGGTAAGAATTATTTATACCAGTAACAGAAAACTCTTGCAGAAACCTCTTGAAAACTGAGAGTCGCGTCTCAATTACCTCTCTGGAAGCTGGTCTATACCCATAGCCAGATGGTAAATTTTTATCTTCTTCACAGCCTTTGGCTCCTGGACTGAAGTGCAATTCAACATGAAAGCGTTCCTCTGAGGAAACGTCCTAAAATATGAAAGAACATAGTGAGGAATTTCAAGTATTTCCTTCCCTCTGGTTACACATACAGATCAAGGGCTCTGTTACCTTATTAGGATCCTCATAAAGCATGATAACAATCTGGGTCATGTAGTTGAGTTCATTGACAACATTTAAATAATCCATAGCTCGTTTCCACTGTTCATCCTTTGATTCCTGAACAAAAGGTCTACGGTAAGTACTTTCTCATACCTTTTAACATGAAACAAAACTTACTGCCATTATGATAGTACGTTTAAACATGAGTGCTATCAGGTGAATACTCATATGTATCATCTTTCCAAATAATTTCACTATGCTTAAAATTCCTAACTTTTTCTTAAGCTTGTTTACATAAATTACATTAAAAGTCTCTTACTTTATAGTACACAGCATATAGTATTGTATATCCTTATTATAGACAGAAAAACTATTTGCAATATTTACTGTGTATGAACTATAAACTCTAAATCTGTTTAAGACAACTTACACTAATAGATTATAATCTCTTGAAATGTGCAAATGCTCCTGAATTCTGAGGGTAAGGAACAATTGTTAATCTTATAAATTCCAAAGTACCTGGTGGAGTGTCATGCTTCATAACACAGAGTACTATCTTATCTCCTCAATGTAATATAGTCCAAATATGCAGCATATGCCTATCACAATGCCCCTGCTTACGGCTTACACTGCAGTGATTCTAATAATCAGCAAAAGGAGGTAAATATAAGTTCTATTGATCTTTTGACCTCCTGTATCATCACTCCATTTTAATTTAGAGAATCACTGGTCTTTAAATATGTAATCACAGAACACCTGAACTGAAAGGCATCATAAAAGAACATGAACAAGCACTCAAAACAGAAAATATTATCTGGAAAGATAAAACTACTCAAAGCACAAAGCCTATGGTAAGGTCAATAAGGTCTTTATAAACCCTCTGAACATACAGATAATTTTCCTTCATTGTCCATATATAATAAAAATTACAAATACATAAAAGCACTAAATGATTTTCTTGTACATAGTAAAGGTATGCAATACTCTGAACTTTGGAATATTTCCTATTCTTAAAAAAAAATTCTCAGTCCATTTGCTGTTCATTATTTTTTGGATTTAGTATATCTTTCCTTTTTTTTTTTTTCAGACATATGTTCCAAAACTAATCATATACTATAGAATAAAAAGTACATTTCCATATGTGCAAGTATGTTCATATATTTGGGGAGGTAATATTTGCAGATGCTTTATTTTCCAAAATTGGAAAAGGAAAACACAAATGAGTATTACTTTTTTGGTCAACAAGATGAGGATCACTAGAAATGATGAAATTAAATTAAATACTGAACGTTATTTTAGGCAAAGAATTAATTATGACTTTGTGTACTATATTAAGAATACCTTGTAATTTCAGGTTGCAGTTACAGACTTTTCTAGGTCTGCTCTGATAAAAAGGTAAGCCCCCCCAGATCATGTTTATAATCTTATTTCTATAACAAACCTTCAAAAAAGTTCATTGTATAGAGATTTTTCATAGTCCATTGTGAGCAATCAAAAATTTCCACTGAGAAGAGACTGAAGAAGGTTTTAAAGATTCTTACACTGATAGGAATTACCCAACAAGCTCTAGTTCCACTGCCAGTGTCTTGTTCAAACTATAAATTATATCATATCTTTTTTTTTTTTTTTTTTAGGTCTCTTTGAGACAGGGTCTCTCTACTCTCTGTAGCCCCAGTTGGCATGGAACTAGCTATGTAGATCAGGCTGGCTTTGAACATACAGAGATCTGCCTGCCTCTGCCTCACAAGTGCTGGGATTAAAGGTGTGTGCCACCAAGCCCAGGTCTGTATCATCTTTCTTAAGGCCACTGTAATAATGTCTTTACCATTTTTCTCATATTCACTTGTCTATCTGTTGTCCACAAAACAACACGTCTCTTGATACCCTGCTTGAAGTTTTTCTCATTCCGTTAGAATACAGAGGGCTGGTTTTCCACCCTCATTGCTGCCACATTATCATTACTCATTATTAGGTTGCAGTAAAAGCTGTCCGGCCTTTCCTGTATTCCCAGTATTCTTTCTACCTCCAATTATGTGTAAGAGGGTGAAAAAGAAGACCATGCTACAGACGTAGCTGTTTTCCCCCAAACAGTGACGTTATTATTACTGGATACACAACTTCTTTCCTTGCTAGCTAAGGGTCATTTTATTTTCATTCACTCTGTCTTCTGTTAAAGCTCTACTATTCCATATATGCAAAGATAGCACTTTGCTATTTCCTTTTTGTTGTTTTGTTGGTGGTGTGTTTTTTTTTTTTTTTTCCGTTTTTTGCTTTTTTTTTTTTTTTTTTTTCGTTTTTTTCTTTGTTGTGTTTCTGTGTGTGTGTGTGTGTGTGTGTGTGTGTGTGTGTGTGTTAGGGTTAGGGTTAGGGTTTAGCTTTGGGCCTCACATGCTAGTAAACCCCTGTATAAACTGAGCTACATACCCAGGCCTCTTTATGGATGGTGAGGCTACAGGGATCTAGCCAGCCCATTTCAGGTCAAAGCTTCCTGATGGCAGCAAAGCTGTGAACAGTCCTCTGAAATGTAAGCCACCTGCTTGACACTCCCTGTACCATAGTCACAAGTCTCTTCAACTGCCACATTTGTCACCATGATAGACTGTACCTTCTCAAGTCATGAGTCAAAATAAACCTTTCCTCCCTTAAATTGGTCAGATATTATGTCAGAAAGACTATGTAGACTCATGCTGGTGTGAAACTCATGGCTAATGCTGAGATTACAGGTATACGTGACCATACCTAGCTCATCACATGGATCTTCTCTGAAGGAAGAAGACTTGTCTTCATACCTCAAACTTAGCAAGTGCATAGTTAGACTAGCAAACCTTTGACAAATGATGGCAAATTACAAAAAATAATGAAGTACTAAAATTTGACTGTAGACAAATATCAGTTAGTGATCTGAGTATAAATTCAAGAAAACATATTTGTCAGATTGAAACAACTATTCTACTTACATCACATAAGGCACCATAGCGAAGAATGGATAGTAAGGAATGCACATGACTTTCACTGGTAAAATACAATCTGGTACGGACATGGCGCTCAGGAGACAGAACCCCCCTGGAATACCTAAAGGTAGAAGCAAACAGTGTTAAGACAACAGTAAAATCAAAACTATTCAAGTATCAAGACATTTTGTGGAATGAATTTAATCTTACTAGACATAAGAGTCCATGATAAATACATCTGACAAGGTTCCAACCACAACTGAATTATTTCAATAGATAGTCATCTAATTAAATTAGGCCCTCTGACAATAGTTAAAAATAAAAAAGAACAGCATTATTTAAGTTCATCGGAAAACCATTACTTTACTTTCTCCAGAAGGACTGACACAAGTGCTAGTAGACATTAACTCCAACTAATAGGGTTCACACGGATAAGTCCAGGTGAATGTTAAAAAACATCTTCGCATCCCCTTAATCTAAGTTTTGTATTCTCAAATTGGCACCAAACAAAATCTTGGTTGATCCTCATATGAGGTATGTGCTGTAATGCCAGCAGTTACACTGGATGGTAAGATGGAGGTCAGCTGGCCCAACTTGGAGAAACAGTCTCAAACAAAAGCTGGGAATGTAGGGCAGTGACAGAGCACCTGCCCACGGCATGTGCAAGCCTCAGAATCCCCCCTCCCCCAAAGAGGAAACTTACTGGTCAAAAGTTAACTAATGGAATACCTAGGTAACCCTATTTCTATAATATCAAATGATATACTCTCGATTTTAGCATAAAAACACCAAGAAGTATTTAGATTTGAAATGCAAATGTCTAAATTTAAACTAGTGCGATCACTTACACAGGATGGAGCTTATTTACAGTGTCATCATCTTGTGTCCTCTGAAGGTCTGAACGAATTTTTCTAACTAGAGGAGTACAGTAGCCTTTGGCAATCTCCAGTTTTTCAGCTTTAGTTATACCATATTCCTGAGCAGAAATGAAACAGTACTGAAAAAGTATAAAAAGAACCCCTAACAAATGCACTCCTTAAGTAAAGAGTTCTAGTGAGACATGAACATTGTACGACATCTTTGTTTGATTAGATAACTCCTAGCTTAAATTGATTGTAGTTATGAATATATGTGTTTCAATCTATTATATATAATGAGAAGGATTTTGTGGTAGAATTGAAAAAGCAACTAACTAGTGAAAAGGGAAGGATGAACAGACAATGCAAGCTTAATGGATAGTACTCAATTTTCAAAGTACATAATAAGCAATTACCATGAAAATAAATAAAATTAAAACTAGAGATTGTGCTGGATAGCGTTAGTGTCAACTTGACAGACTTGGGTTGAGGGAGCCTCAATTGGGGAATTGCCTTCATTGGACTGGCCTGTGGCCATGTCCATGGGGCACCTTCTTGATTGTTCAGTGATGTGGGATGGCCCAGCCCACTGTGGGTGGTGCCACCCCTGGGCAGGTGGGCCTATGTTGTACAAGAAAGCAGGCGGAGCAGGGGTCAGAGAAGCAAGCCAGTAAGCAGTATTCCTCCATGGCCTGTGCTCCAGCTCCTGCCTCCAGGTTCCTGCCCTGAGTTCCTCCTGTGACCCAGGAGATATAAGCTAAATAAACATTTTCCTTCCCAAGTTGGTATTTGTCAGAGTATTTTGTCACAGCAATGAAGAAACAAGCTAGGACAGAGATTTTCGTCCATCGTAACATCAAAGTTTAAAATACCTAACACATTCTTTAAAACCTCTGGCCAATGTTCTTAAGGTTTTAATTAGTGGTGAGCAACAATGTCATGAAGTAATGAAATTTAATCTCTAATTAATGTGAGTAAATTAGAATTATAAAGAACTAACCAATGTGAAATATCAAGAAAAGTAAATTTTAATTTTATGCAGTCATATATTAGAAAATGACCTTATATTAAAAAAGAAAATCATGTGAGCTACAATAATGACTAGCCTGGCAAGATAAATCCACTGGTATAATAGTGGTACACATTTTGGGAGTAAGCAATCACTTTCTGATTAGATTTAAAGCCTGTTCCACAAGATGGAACCCATGGCTGGTACTATTAACTGGGCCCAAATCCCATGGTTAGGGAGAACCTAGTAGTATTTTTCTGCTAAATGGACACCAGTTTTCTGAGAATTCGGTCTGGTTGAAAAGTTAACTGCCGAGTATACTACAGTGTAAATACTTTGCATAATTAAAATGATCATAACTGTTAATATAATTAAACTATTTGTCATGTGTAAGATGTGCTAGGACTAGACTTAAAATTCATAAAAACCAGCTCAATTTAAAAGTATTATTTTTTGGAGGCATAGTAATGCTTTGCAATATACAGAATAGAAATACATTTTCCTTCAGGGAGTAATACTATCAATCTATATTAATTTTTTTCTAAACAAGCTAAAATTTTACATATGTGATTAAGTCACTAAGTCAAAGTGTAAAGTAGTCTGTATGTGCCTGAGAACTACACATGTATAATGTCCCTTTTATCCATTAAAACTATTTGCATGATAAATGACTATAAATGTTTATGGTTTTGATTAATTTTATAGTACTTAATAATGTATGCATTTTTTTGTCTGAAGGTTTTGTATATATGAAGGCTAAAGTAACAAAGCAATAAATATTTACTGAACTGAATCCAATATTTAATTTAAAGAGAACAAATTCTAAGTTTCTCACACAACAATACTATCAAATCAAAATGTCAGGCCAGCAAGCCCAAGTTTTTCTGTACTCAATTTATCAAATAAACTCAGAAGTCTAGGAAAGCATACAAAAAGACCTCTGCTTTTGATGTTACAGATTTACCAAACCAGAACTCATCTCTGGAGTTCAGGGCATAATTTTTGTCTTAAAAGTTCCAAGATATAAAAAACAAACAATTTATCCAAGAAACTATTATAAATCTAACCTAATTGCATCAAAGGGAATTACTGTAATAGAGACTGAGAAAAGCTGAACAGGATGGAATACTTTAAAAAATAAAAATAGTGGGTTAAATAATGGATAACAATACTAACAATGTTTATTTTACTTACAATACTTTAAAAATGTAAATTATGATTACTTAAGATTCTAGGACATGGAGAGAAGTTTCTTCAGGTACATTGTTGGGATAGTCAGGAGTGCCTGGAATGTAGTGCATGGCCGCCAGGCCAGGTACCTCCTAGTGAGGATAGCAGGAAACTGGCCCGCTCCATTCTAGATACACTGTCTCTTACCCAACAACCCCCAAACAAAACTATTAATCCCTAATCCTTTAATTCTAACCTGGTCCCTTGTAGATCATGTGACCGTAGGACAGGACAAAGGCCACATGGCCTTAGAAGCCCCCTCCCTCCCCCCACCTGCCTGCCCACCAGAAACCCAACCCTGCCTCTTTGTCCACGAAACATTCCTATATAAACCTCTGCTTCCCCCATAATAAATGAGCTGTCCACTGACACAGTCTCCAGGGGTGTTTTCTTCCAGTTGTGCACACCTCTGCCCGAGGCCTGGTCTCTCTCCTTGCCCTGACCTTCTGCTATGGGGACCAGTGTGCAATGGTCTCCAGGCAGCAGCGGAATTGGGCCAAGGGGAGGCCGGCAGCTGGTGCCTAATGTGGGGCTTAAACCCACCACCCTGAGATTAAGAGTCTCATGCTCTACCAACTGAGCCACCTGTCGGCACCCCCTCGGACACCACTGCTACTGGGAGGCTGTTGCACACCAGCCCCCATCACAGGAAGTCAGGGCAAGGAGAGACCCGTGGGGAGAAGGAGGACTCAGGCGGCAGTGAGTATGGACAGGGAGAAAACACCCTGGGAGACTGTGTCAGTAGACAGCTCATTTATTATGGCGGAAGCAGAGGTTTATATAGGAAAGTTTTGTGGACAAAAAGGCAGGGTTTGGTTTCTGGCTGGCAGGCAGGTGGGGGGAGGGAGGGGGCTTCTAAGGCGACATGGCCTTTGTCCTGTCTTCTGGTCACATGACCTACAAGGAACCCAGTTAGGATCAAAGGATTAGGGACTTAATACTTTTGCTTGGGGATTGTTGGGTAAGAGACAGTGTATCGAGAATGGAGCAGGCCAGTTTCCTGCTATCCTCACTAGGAGGTATCTGGCCTGGCAGCCATGCTCTACATTCCAGGCACTCCTGACTATCCCAACATCTCCCCCTTTGTCTTTTATTGGTGCTAGCTTCTTGTATGGTATATTTACTGGTTTTTAAAGATAACTTTTAAGTTTTTACATTGTTTAAAGTGTTTACAGATTTTTAAAAGAAATTACTTTTAGTTTTTGACATTGTTTACATGACATGTTTACCTAATAGCTTTAAAGGAATTATTTGGATTTTAACATCTTTCATATGGTATTTGCTGACTTCTAAAAGTAACTATTTTAAATTCTGTTTTGCATAAAATATTTGTCAGTTTCTAAAGAGACCTTAAGTTTTTCTAGCCATATGCCTTCAAACTATTCAGGTACAAAGGGAGCTGACACTTTGTGATGGCTAGACCTGGGAAGCGCATGGGGATTCACTGTACTCCAGGACCAAACCTTATAAGCGACAAGCTACTAAACACATAATTACAACAACAGGAGGAAAAAAGGGATAGCCAACTTGGGTGGGAGGCTTAAGGCGCCAATGGTCTTAATCCCTCACTTTTCTGCATTGTGGTTCTTAAGCCTGTTTTTCTCTGGAATAGAGTTATTTCCCTGTCTGCTCAGATGCTCTATGCTTGCTTTTGTTCCTGCCCCATCATTCCATGGGTACTTTCTAGTTACAAAGTCATGGACAGACTAAAGGGAAAGATTATTGAAATATTGCCTCTTTGCAGGATTTTTTAGGTACCACTGTTTTCTGTGTTCCATATTTTCTAGGCTATGGGTACTTAATCCAATATTATGTATGGTAAATTATGATATGTTCTTTTCAATCCAGACTGACAGCCCGCTTCAAAGGAATTCACCATGTGAGTTAACAGTCTTGTCTTAGTTTAAAAGTAAAATATGGATAAACAATTTTAAAAATTTTAGGCTAAAGAAAAACAAATGCCTTTTTTATTAATTATATTGGTAAATTGTCATGTGCTGTTTGAGGTCACTGAGAAGCTGACTCTGAAGATGAGATTAGCCCTCCCACTTCAGACTCAAGCCTATTATCTCAAGATATGTTCTCCTAGCCTCTTTTCTAGGTTCAGGATAGCCCCCTGACCCTGTGACAAGAAAAAGGAGAACAACAAAACAGCCTAAGAGTAAAGGCACTATACAGCTGAAAACAGCTAAGATGTAAACTAATTTCAAAAGAAAGAGGGTATTATTGTCTATAGTAAAAGTAGTTAATGGGATTCTCTATTTGGTCACAATACTGAGTAAAGTCACTACCACAGACTAATAAAAATGTATAAAAAATATAAAAATAAATTTTAATTAATAAAAAAAT